TTAGAGACAATAATAAATGCCATGGAAACAAAAAACATATGTGGGAACTTATAAATGTATAATATTTATAAGTATGGTTTTATTGTTTAACAATACAGTTTGTTCCAATATCATAACGTTATAACAATCAAGCCCTTCATTAGGACAAGTATAATTAAATTTCACAATCATCTTATTTTACCAAACGTCTTAAACTAAGGTTAGAGTGTGTTTTAAGATTTTGCTTTTTCTCTCAAGATTACAGATTTTAATTTGGATATCATCTATGATTAAGACGCAATATTTTTTTTTTATTTTTTTTGCTGTGCATCTGATGTGTATGTCTGTGTAAAACTTCTTCATAACTTACAAACAGCGTCTAAAGCACATGCGTAATTTGAAAAGGGAGCTTTGAAGGCGTAATTTTAACATGATCTTCGCGAAGTAATGCATTCGTCTTGTTCATCGTAAGTATAGAACATAAACTTATATCATATACACTTCGTATAGCTTTAGAAGTAAAAACAGGTTACTTTTACAGTGGCAAACGTTACATAAACCTCTCATTATCGTAATCTTGTTTATTATCAAACTTCGTTTTCCTTCGAACACATCGATTGCTAATGTCCTGATTCGACGATATGGAAATTATACATAATTAAATTTAACTGTTGCGTATTTTTAATTTAAAACCAGTTTGCTCTTTTATTGAGTTTACAACTATTTATGTAGGTAGCTTCAAAAACTTAATAAGTCCGAAAAACATTCGTACTTATTTATAGCGTATGCAGGTGACGTAGTGTCATGTCTTCTACACAAGCATCCGTTTTATGTGACTTGCTGCTATTGGTACATTACACTTAGTGATTGAATCACATGAAACGAGCTTATTCCTCATTTATAACACTTTCATCGAAGATGTACTTCAGTGAGGGCTGACAGTAAAGCTGGGATTTCTTCGTTTATACGTTGCTTGAAAACATAGAAAAACGTTTATGTTAAGCAATTACTATATACTTGCGTAAGTATCATAAAAAAGCAGTCGGCGTTAACGTTTCTGTAATACGTATAGGTTTTAGGGGTTATTACAAACGTCTAGAATAGCTCTTTAAAATGTATGTAACAAAGAATAATTCAGAATTTTCATTTTACCACATTAAATGTGCATTAAAACAGATATAGTATGCGGATTGTACTTGTGTTTTATATATATATATATATATTCAGAAATGTGTGTTCCTGGAAGTGTCATTTGATGGATCAGCCATAAGTAAAAAAATAATAGGATAACAACCCTCAACAGTCTTCCCACTGATTAAATGTACTGTGGCCTTGACAAAGTTTTATCATGTTTTATGTCATGTGGAAGAACGTTGGTGGGCAGAGCCCATCACCCTGATGTGCTTCCTTTCTATCAGATGATTTCTAAATTATTTTTAACCATAGCTTGCAGGAAGGATTGTTAGAACGATTAGAGCTTATCCAACTTTAGCTATTTATCTCTAAATTCACTAAATTTTTGTATAGTTGGAACTTTTATGTACTAGCCCTGCTTGTGTTTGATAATAGTGTTTATACATATGCAGAGTTCTCAAAATAACTCGTAATAAGGTAAAAACCCTCTAATATTCTAAGACGTTTTAATAAAATGGTATAACGTTTCATCAGATGAGTTTGTCAAAAAGGTTTTTGATTTTTGTTGTTGTTGTTTTTTGCGTTTCTTTAATTTGTTAATAAGTTTGTATTCAACCATTTTACAAAAATATAGTAAAGTTCTGAAATAACTGATTTTAACTAACAGTTTGACAGAATGAACATGTATTTGCTATTTGCAACCAGAATGGCACCTTATGCAACACATTGCCAGGTCAGAGACCCTTAGGGCACAGCTATAGCTATCCCTAATTCAGAACTGCTCAACAGGAGAGAAACCAGTCAGTAGCGCCTTCCATGTTTGTGTCTACCCTAACACAATATCTGGCTTGACTGTCATTGTTACAATGCCCCTTCAGTTAAATGCTGGGACATATTCATTGGAATATCATGGCTCAGACCTTGGACCTTCCAACCTGTAGTTTGGCATGTTAATGACTTGGTCGTACTTGAACCAGAGAAACTCATTGAAAAAAATGTTTATTTTGACTAGTACTCTTATGCATTAGCAGCAACTTTTCCAAGTTATTGTGGGTACTGAGTGTATTTTTTTTACAGCTTCAGGGTGCTCATCAATATTTGCATCAATAAGTTTGGAGTGATGCTCAAGCACATACACCACCCAGCGAGCTAGCATCTATGCTCTTAACATAACTCTTAAGTATTATCTAAATTTTAAGCATCAGAAGTAAATTTCTCAGCCCAGTGAATCAAGTAAATATTTAACTGTATGAAAAATTGTTTCAAATGGAGATTTGAGAGAGATAAAACTGTTACAGAAACTATCTGGGCATTACTTCTATCAAAGACAGCACTTCATCCATCTTAAGTACTAAAAAAGTCTTTCAGGTTTTGATCTCTAAGATTCTCCACAAAATTTTTAACAACACTGGTGTGTATTCAACAGTAGCTCTTAATTATTGGTAAGATATTTGGCCACTTCAACTTAGTTGCCATATTTAATTCTGCAAAAGCAAAGTGTAGCAGACATAGATTTTTTGGGGTGGATGTTGTTAATGTGTAGTCAGCAAACATTACATCTTTCTCTATATCTTAAGGGTTCCACATTTTCAGAGACAACTGTAGCACTTAGTAATTAGTACCTTAGGAAATGAAATTAATTTGACTCTTATTCAAAGTATTTTTAAAAAATACTGTTATTGTTTCTATTTTAAAGGTGTATCGAATATATTTTGGTAAATTTAGGAGATTTGGACTAACCAAGTGTGCACTGGATTGGTGTATTCTAACTGTATTTATATAAAATATGGCAAGCTTTTAGTAAAGTGTACAAGTCTGTTGCGCACAAAAAATCAGATGTGTTAGAAAAGTATATGTACTCAGGGTATGTTTGTGAATTAACAGCATTAATCTGACTCAAACTGTGACAAGTTGGAGTTCAAGTTGATGTTCATGTGAAGAATAAAATACTTTTGTCCAACGTGTAGAGTCCATATTATATTTGCATAACCTCAATAAATTTATCTCTACAGTTTTTCAGTATTTCTGGATATTGTGTCTGATATTTACTCTCCTCTGCCACAAACTGTTGCTAAATCTACAGTGTAAGGTAAAATGAGTAGATGATAACTTTGGCATCAACTACATAATATTATGTTGAATGGAACTCTGTAAAAGGTCATGGCATACACACTTGACCCTCACCTGTGCACATAACTCTAAAAATTGTAGTCATTAGTGCACAAACTTTATTGTGATGTTGTAATAATTATAAAAATCCCAAAGTGAATATAGCAACTAAATTTAATATTTCATCCACTTTTTAAGTTATATTTCTTATTGTTTATATATATATATATATATATATATATAAC